AGAACATGTGACACCATGTGACCACACTGGAATCAAATCGATAGACAAAACAACACAACACGACACAACACAACACAACACGACACAACACAACAAGACACAACACAACACGACACGACACAACGCACTACTACTACTGACTACAGACACTACACAACGTGTGATGTGCAGGAGAGTCATTTGTGGGACGCACACTGATTGTGTTGTGATAGTTGTGATAGTGTTCAGACAGGAGTACAGGATGTGTATCTCTGTTGTGTATCTGTGTTGTGTGTCTGTGTTGTGTACCTGTGTTGTGTATCTGTGTTGTGTATCTGTGTTGTGTGTCTCTGTTGTGTATCTGTGTTTTATTGGATTTAACATTATTTAATGTTAAATCTCATTAAATAAACAAAGTGAAAGTGTCTTAATGTGTTTAGACTCTGGAGAAAATGAAGCTCATTAAAACACGACTCTGCACACGTCCCACAGGAAACAACGACAATGACAACGACACCAACGACACCGCCGCCGCCGCCGCAGCAGCAGACCGCACGAGCATGTTTACATTTGTGTTTGGAGGAAAAAAAAAAAACACACGAAGAAACGATTTAGAGAATTTAGCGAGTCTTAATGTAAAAACCAACTACAAGTACACACATGAACAGTTCTGTATCACACACAACTGTAATGACTCTAGAGAAGCTGTGTGGAGTTTAAAAACACGCTGGAGCACTTCCTGTATCACCACGTGACATCACAAGGTGCATCTGTTTCCATTGGGCCTGTTTGTGTTTGTAGCAGACGCGAGGAGTCCCAGAGGACGAGACACCAGGTCCACCAAGTCCACCAGGTCCACGAGACAGATGGAGACGAGCTAACAGCGCTAATGATGCTAATGATGCTAACGATGCTAACGATGCTAATGATGCTAACGATGCTAATGATGCTAACAAGGATCCACCTTGAACAGATCTGCAGAAACATCTGGACAGATTTAGACCAGGTTTGGTCTCAGGTTTAGATCAAGTTTAGACTTTAGTTTAGGCCAGGTTCAGACCAGGTTCAGACCAGGATTAGGCCAGGATTAGGCCAAGTTTAGACCAAGTTTAGACCAAGTTTAGACCAAGTTTAGACCAGGTTCAGACCAAGTTAAGACCTGGTTTAGTCCCAGATTTAGACTAGGTTTAAATCAAGTTTAGACCAAGTCCCAGGTTTAGTCCAAGGTTTAGTCCAGGTTTAGACCAGGTTTAGACCAGGTTTAGACCAAGTTTAGACCAAGTTTAGTCTCAAATTAGTCCCAGGTTTAGTCAGAAGTTTAAGTCCCGATCCAATCCTAGTCCCAGGTTTAGTCCCAGGTATAGTCCTGGTTCAGACCAAGTTTAGGCCAAGTTTAGACTACGTTTAGACCAGGTTCAGACCAGATTTAGTCCCAGGTTTAGTCCCAGGTTTAGACCAGGTTTAGACCAAGTTTAGACCAAGTTTAGACCAAGTTTAGACCAAGTTTAGACCAAGTTTAGTCTCAAATTAGTCCCAGGTTTAGACCAGGTTTAGACCAGGTTTAGACCAAGTTTAGACCAAGTTTAGACCAAGTTTAGACCAAGTTTAGACCAAGTTTAGTCTCAAATTAGTCCCAGGTTTAGACCAGGTTTAGACCAAGTTTAGACCAAGTTTAGACCAAGTTTAGTCTCAAATTAGTCCCAGGTTTAGACCAGGTTTAGACCAAGTTTAGACCAAGTTTAGACCAGTTTAGTTTAGTCCCAGGTTTAGACCAGGTTTAGACCAGGTTTAGACCAAGTTTAGACCAAGTTTAGACCAAGTTTAGTCTCAAATTAGTCCCAGGTTTAGTCAGAAGTTTAAGTCCCGATCCAGTCCTAGTCCCAGGTTTAGTCCCAGGTTTAGTCCCAGGTTTAGTCCTGGTTCAGACCAAGTTTAGACCACGTTTAGACCACGTTTAGACCACGTTTAGACCACGTTTAGACCACGTTTAGACCACGTTTAGACCAGGTTCAGACCAGATTTAGTCCCAGGCTTAATCCCAGGTTCAGACCAGGTTTAGACCAAGTTGAGGCCAAGTTTAGACCAAGTTTAGTCTCAAATTAGTCCCAGGTTTAGTCAGAACTTTAAGTCCCAATCCAGTCCTAGTCCCAGGTTTAGTCCCAGGTTTAGTCCTGGTTCAGACCAAGTTTAGACCAAGTTTAGACCAGGTTTAGTCCCAGGTTTGGTTTAGACCAGATTTAGTCAAGGTTTAGTCTCAAAATTTAATCCTGGTTTAATCAGACGTTTAGGTCCAGGTTTAGTACCAGGTTTAGTCCGAGGTTTAGGTCCTGATCCAGTCCTAGTCCTAGTCCTGGTTCAGTTCCAGCTGCAGTCCTGTTTGTGTCAGATGCCCTCCCGCTGCTCTTTTATAAAACACTGTTAAAACATTCACAGTTTTTCTTATAATTTGTCAAATATGACAAGTTTTTTTTTGGACTAAAACTTTTATAAATATCAAAAATAAACCAGTCTCGTCTTGGTCCAGACCTGGTCCAGACCTGGTCCAGACCTGGTCCAGACCTGGTCCAGACCTGGTCCAGAGCCGGTGTGAGGAGGAGGAGGAGGATTTCTGGCTGTAAAAACTCGTCTTCTGCCAAAACGTTTGATTTGTGTTTTATTCTGGTGTTTTCGTTGCCACGGCGACGAGAGCGAAGTGTAAACGATTTAACGACGTCCCAAAACGAACCAGGACTAAACCAGGACTGAACCAGGACTGAACCAGGTCTAAACCAGGACTAAAACAGGACTGAACCAGGTCTAAACCAGGACTGAACCAGGACTGAACCAGGTCTAAACCAGAGAGAAGGGGAAGAAAGGGAGAGAGGGAAAGGGAAGGAGGATTGGAGGGAGATAAAGGGAGGGAGGGAGGTAAAGGGAGGGAGGGAGGGATACAGGAAGAGAGAGAGGAGGAAGGAGGGAGAAAGGGGAAAGAGAGGAAGGAAGAGAGAGAGTAAGTGAAAAGGAGAAAGAGAAGGACACAAGGAGGGAAGTGGAGGAAGCGAGAAAGAGGGGAGCAGAGAAGTATAGAAGAAAGAGAGGGAGAGACAGAGAGAGGAGGAGGAGGAGATATATGGGAGGAATGAGAAGAACGAGAAAGAGACAAAGAGAAATGAGGCAAAGACGGAAGAGAGAGAGAGAGAAAGAGAGAGAGCGAGAGAGAGAGAGCGAGAGAGAGCGAGAGAGAGAGAGAAGGACAAGAGATGAAGAGAAAAGGGGAGCGAGGGTCAGAAGGAGATGGAGGAGGGGAAGAGGGGATGAGAGAGAGAGGGAGAGAGAGAAAGAAAGAGGGAGGAACACGAGTGTTGACTGGAGGGAGAAGGAAACACGGAGTGAATCTAAATCCACAAAAGAGAGAGAAGAAGAAGAGGAGAGGAAAGAGAGATGACAGGAGCAGAGGAGAGAGAGAGAGAGAGAGAGAGAGAGAGATGACAGGAGCAGAGAGAGAGAGAGAGAGAGAGAGAGAGAGAGAGAGAGAGAGAGAGAGGAGAGAAGAGAGAGAGAGAGAGAGAGATGACAGAGCAGAGGAGAGAGAGAGAGGAGAGGAGGGGTGGGGGGGGAGGAGGTGTGACAGACGCAGAGAAGAAAAATGGAGGGAATTCCAATGAGGTTTAGTTCAGACACAAACAGGAAACAACAGACGAAAAAAAAAACAATGAAAAGAAACAAGCTCCACAAAAAAAAAAAAGAAAAAACCAAGAGTTTTCTCAGATTTACACTTTACAAACTCAAAATCTAAAACATTTTTCACCAACAACTAAAGAAATATTTAACCTCAAACTGTGAATATTTGATCTGAAATTCACAAAAACAAAAACATTCTCCAAAAAAAATAAATCTGCCAAAACCAAATGTGATTCACAAACAGAGTCAGGAGTAACAGATTACATGTACCGGAGTAATCAGAGTACAAATGATGAGTAACTGTATTCAGTTACAGTTACTGTTTCAGTGAGTGGGAATTGGATTACAGTTACTTTGTTGAAATAAATGAATTACACAGAGGGATTTAACTGTTTTTACTTTTTATTTATTTATTTTATTTTATTTTTTTTTTGGTAATTCCACTCATTGCTGGAAACTAAACCAGGTCTAAACCAGGACTAAAACCAGATCTAAACCAGGTCTAAAACCAGGTCTAAACCAGGTCTAAACCAGGACTAAACCAGGACTGAACCAGGTCTAAACCAGGTCTAAACCAGGTCTAAACCAGGTCTAAACCAGGTCTAAACCAGGACTGAACCAGGACTGAACCAGGACTAAAACCAGATCTAAACCAGGACTAAACCAGGACTAAAACCAGATCTAAACTAGATCTAAACCAGGACTAAACCAGATCTAAAACCAGATCTAAACCAGGACTAAACCAGGTCTAAACCAGGACTAAACCAGGACTAAAACCAGATCTAAACCAGGACTAAACCAGGTCTAAACCAGATCTAAACCAGGACTAAACCAGGTCTAAAGCAGATCTAAACCAGGACTAAACCAGATCTAAAACCAGGACTAAACCAGGACTAAACCAGGTCTAAACCAGATCTAAACCAGGACTAAACCAGATCTAAAACCAGGTCTAAACCAGATCTAAAACCAGATCTAAACTAGATCTAAACCAGGTCTAAACCAGGTCTAAACCAGATCTAAATGCTGTGTGGACGTGTCTCCTCGTCTTCTATCAATAATATTTTTAATACGGTTAAGTATCCGAGTATTTTCTTCTCTACAGCAAATCAAGTAATCCAAAGTAATCAGATTACATTACTCACTTTAAGTAATTTAATGGATTCTGTTACAAACTACATTTTGGTGTGTGTAATCTGTAATCTGTAGGGGATTACATTTTAAAAGTAAACTTCCCAACACTGTTCACAAAAGAAAATTCTCAAATCAGTCGAGGTTTTGAGTGAAATAAGAAGTTTTCTGACGGTTCAAAACTTCACCAAAAACACGACACACCTCAACTACTTCTTCTTCTGCGTTCTTACCTTGTAGAGTTTCCCGCTCCTGGTGCCCACGAACGCCACCGTGTGCCCGCTGTAGTCGTAGGCGGCGACGGCGGCGAGTCCGTCGTCTCGCTCCACCAGCAGGGGGACGCCCTCGATGGTGCTGGTGCCGCCCAGAGGCTGGTTGAAGTCCTGCCCACAGAAGTTATCGTCGATCTGAAGAGGCTGCGGATAAAAACACAAAAACACAAACACAGACATGGTTCAGTTTAGCGCTGGTATCGTTAAAGGTTGAACAGAGCATTTTTTACCGTTGAAGTTTCCTGTCTAAAAATAATTTAGCGACCGACGCGTCTTCAGTTTTTAGACCCTACGTCCGCTTCATTCGCGCCGTCGCTGGAAGGAATCTCCAAGAATCACCTCCGTTTATCTTCTCGCTCCTTTTCTCCTTCTCTTCTTCTTCTTCTTTCGGCGACCTCAAAAAAGGACTTTCTTTCGCGGCGAATGGTCGTGGATTCTCGTCCACCGTCTCGACAAAGTTTGTGCGAATTGCGAGGAAGCGACAGTTTGAAAACGCCTCTAAAAACCGTTGCATAAACCACGTAATCCCCGCGCGCCGATGAGTCAGTTACACTAGAAACATAAGGAGTTTGATTGGCAACCGAACAGCCAATAGAAAATGAGGGAGCCTCGTTTTCTATTGGCTGATGTTTCTCTGGCCTCAACACGTCCACAGTTGATAGATTTTCATTCTTTTTTTTTTTTTTGGTCATCATAATTACAAAGCTGCTGAGTTTCTGTAATGGTATTTTGAACTTTCACTGAAAATTTGAAACAAAAAAAAATCCTCCATAAAACCTTTAAGGAGCTGCCGATACGATACAACGATACGATACACATAACAGGCCGCGATACGATACATATCGATACACAGGCCGCGATACGATACCTCGATACACAGGCCACGATACGATACACACCTCGATACACAGGCCGCGATACGATACATACGATACACAGGCCCGATACGATACACACCCTCGATGCAAAGGCCACGATACGATACATATCGATACACAGGCCGATCGATACATACGATACAGGCCATGATACGATACATATCGATACACAGGCCATGATACAATACATATCGATACACAGGCCGCGATACGATACACACCTCGATACACAGGCCACGATACGATACACACCTCGATACACAGGCCGCGATACGATACACACCTCGATACACAGGCCACGATACGATACATATCGATACACAGGCCACGATACGATACACACCTCGATACACAGGCCATGATACAATACATATCGATACACAGGCCATGATACAATACATATCGATACACAGGCCGCGATATGATACACACCTCGATACACAGGCCACGATACGATACACACCTCGATACACAGGCCACGATACGATACACACCTCGATACACAGGCCACGATATCGATACACACCTCGATACACACATACACAGGCCACGATACGATACACACCTCGATACACAGGCCACGATACGATACACACCTCGATACACAGGCCACGATACGATACATATCGATACACAGGCCGCGATACGATACACACCTCGATGCAAAGGCCACGATACGATACATATCGATACACAGGCCACGATACGATACACACCTTGATACACAGGCCACGATATGACACATATCGATACACAGGCCGCGATACGATACACACCTCGATGCAACAGGCCACGATACGATACATATCGATACACAGGCCACGATACGATACACACCTCGATACACAGCACACGATACGATACGATACGATACATATCGATACACAGGCCACGATACGATACATCAGTCCATCGGTCTTTTAAAGTGTTAAATCCCCGAGTGGAAGTCGACACTATAAAGTCTGTGTGTTTAAAATAGAACTGATGTGGAAACTAAACAGATGAACACATGAAGCTTCAAGACTCGACTGAAACTCGTGATCTTCATCAGCAGAAGACGGAGAAAATGAGAAGCTCAGAAAATGGTTTTGTTTAGTTTCACCGCTGGAAATAAAGAAATGTGTGTTTATGTGCAGATCGACTCTGTTCATCAATAACAACATGAACGAGATCAGACGAACGTCTGACACTCGTGATGGTCACATGTCCAGAGTCGGGAGTAACAGATTACATGTACTGGAGTAATCAGAGTACAAATGATGAGTAACTGTATTCAGTTACAGTTACTGTTTCAGTGAGTGGTAATTGGATTACAGTTACTTTGTTGAAATAAATGGATTAAACAGAGAGATTGAACTGTTTTTACATTTTGAACTAAACCAGGACTAAACCAGGACTAAACCAGGTCTAAAACAAGATTTAACAGGACTAAACCAGGACTAAACCAGGACTAAACCAGGTCTAAACCAGGACTAAACCAGGACTAAACCAGGTCTAAACCAGGACTAAACCAGGTCTAAACCAGGTCTAAAACAAGATTTAACAGGACTAAACCAGGACTAAACCAGGACTAAACCAGGACTAAACCAGGTCTAAACCAGGTCTAAACCAGGACTAAACCAGGACTAAACCAGGACTAAACCAGGTCTAAAACAAGATTTAACAGGACTAAACCAGGACTAAACCAGGACTAAACCAGGACTGAACCAGGACTAAACCAGGTCTAAACCAGGTCTAAACCAGGACTAAACCAGGACTAAACCAGGACTAAACCAGGACTAAACCAGGACTAAACCGGGACTAAACCAGGACTAAACCAGGTCTAAACCAGGTCTAAACCAGGACTGAACCAGGACTAAACCAGGACTAAACCAGGACTAAACCAGGACTAAACCAGGACTAAACCAGGTCTCTTCTTCTTCTATCAATATTATTTTTTATTTGGTTCAGTAAAGTTTGGTCTTTTTATTTTCTTTTATCAGACAAAACTTTTTATGTGAAGATTTCCTCGTCTTTGTTTCTCTACAACAAATCAAGTAATCCAAAGTAATCAGATTACATTACTCACTTTAAGTAATATAATGAATTACGTTACAAACTACATTTTGGGGTGTGTAATCTGTAATCTGTAATCTGTAGGGGATTACAGACATGATCTTCATTAGGAGTCGGTTCATGCAACAAACTGTTTTTATGTACGAAAATAAATAATAATGTAACGTGAAAACTGAGCAAAACTAAACAGATTCATGTGAACAGTTTACAAAAGTCAAGTTTTAAAGAGCAACAGAAGTGAAGACGTTACAGACAGACACAGTTAAAGGAGAAAAGTGTTGATCACAGATGTTTAAAGTTTAAATTTAAATGTTTATGCATCAAGAAAAAGAACAGTCTAAAATATAATAATAATAACAATAATAATAATAATTAATATTAATATAAATCTGTTTTTACTGGATGTTACATAAAAATCAATAAAATCAATAAAATCACAGATGACGTCGTCTGGAGAAAAACTATCTCGTCTCACGTGTCGTAAAATCCACGACTCAAACTCCACCAGACGCAGAGAACAGAACTTTAACAAGACCACGAGACCATTCACAAATCACAGACCCAGACCTGGACCTGGACCCGGACCCAGACCTGGACCCAGACCTGGACCCAGGACCTGGACCCAGACCTGGACCCAGACCCAGACCTGGACCCCAGACCTGGACCCAGACCTGGACCCAGACCTGGACCCAGACCTGGACCCGGACCTAGACCCAGACCTGGACCCGGAACCCGGACCCAGGACCCAGACCTGGACCCAGACCTGGACCCAGACCTGGCCCAGACCTGGACCCAGACCTGGACCCAGACCCGGACCTGACCCAGACCCAGACCTGGACTCAAGACCCCGGACCCAGACCTGGACCCAGACCCAGACCTGGACCCAGACCTGGACCCACCAGACCCAGACCCGGACCCAGGACCCAGATCTGGACACTGGACCCAGACCTGGACCGGACCTGGAGCCAGACCTGGACCCAGACCTGGACCCAGACCTGGACCCAGACCTGGAGGACCCAGGACACAGACCAGGACCCAGACCTGGACCAGACCCGGACCCAGGACCCAGACCTGAACCCAGACCTGACCCAGACCCAGACCTGACCCAGACCTGACCCAGACCTGGACCCGGACCTGGACCCAGACCTGGACCCGACCTGACCGACCGGACCCGGACCTGGACCCAGACCTGGACCCGGACCTGGACCCAGACCTGGACTCCCGGACCCAGGCCTGGACCCAGGACCAGACCTGGACTCCACAGACCTGGACCCAGACCGGACCCAGGACCCAGACCTGGACCTGAACCCAGACCTGGACCCAGGACCCAGACCTGAACCCAGACCTGACCCAGACCTGGACCCGGACCTGGACCCAGACCTGGACCCGGACTGGACCCAGACCCGGACCTGGACCCAGACCTGGACCCGGACCTGGACCCAGACCCAGACCTGACCCAGACCGGACCCAGACCTGGACCCAGACCTGGACCCAGACCTGGGACTCAGGACACAGACCTGGACCCAGACCTGGACCCAGGACCCAGACCTGGACCCAGACCTGGACCCAGGACCCAGACCTGGACCCAGACCTGGACCCAGGACACAGACCTGAACCCGGACTCAGGCTCAGGTGAGACTTTTTTCCCCCACAGAATCTAAACCCGAGTTTTTCGTCCATGACAAAAACTCTTGACACTGAACTTTAGAGTCACATGATCAAGACCTGAGGGACCCACAGAGGAGCCCACGTGCCTCTGAGCAACACACTGACCCGCAAACTCAACAGAGATCAGACCCGAGACCAGACCAGAGACCAGAGACCAGAGACCAGAGACCAGAGACAGAGACAGAGACCAGAGACCAGAGACCAGAGACCAGAGACCAGAGACCAGACCAGAGCAGACCAGAGACCAGACCAGAGACCAGAGACCAGAGACCAGAGACCAGAGACCAGAGACCAGACCAGAGACCAGAGACCAGAGACCAGAGACCAGAGACCAGAGACCAGAGACCAGAGACCAGAGACCAGAGACCAGAGACCAGAGACCAGACCAGAGACCAGACCAGAGACCAGAGATTTAATCTGGGCCAAAACTCTTAAATTACAAAAAATCTAAAATAAATCTGGAAAAAGAGTTTGTTTGTTTGGGGCTAATCCAGGTTTTATCACTACATCATCCCTCCACCCTCATCCCTCTATCCTTCTCTC